TCTCTCTCTCTTCTCATATATATAATATATATATAATATATATATATTATTTATATATAATATATAGATATAATATAGAAAACTCCTATCGACTTAAGGATAGAAATAGTGTCCACCAAACTTTTATCCATGGATCTTCCCTAGGATCTGCAGATATGAAGAACTTTTATATTATAAATATGGACAAAAGTGGTACAACTACCCTATCCATTAAGTTGATAAGTCTTGCCTTCCTCTCCTCTCTCCTTTTAAAATATATATAATAGATATATATATAATATATATATATATAATAACCGGTAGGTGTTGCAACGGTATAAACAACCCAGAGAAAAGTTCAAAAATTCCATATACGTAGCTTGCTTTATTTAATAAAATAAGTTAAAGAACATTTGGAAAACATGAAAGAAATTAATACGTTTAAGTAGCAGTTATAATTGCATGGAAAAGGAAGTGTACAATGAACACATACCTTATTAGATAGAACATTCCAAATTCCATCACTGGCGATAATCAGAAAGTCAAAACCTTCTATCTTCTCTTCCTAGAATCAAAAGAAGAAACATCATCTAAGTAACTGTTTTCAGCATGATACGTATAAAATAACTAAAGAAAGGAATTAATAGTTGCAAACATCTACTTATAAATGGTGATCTTGCATCATGACATCATGCTAAGCAGCAAATCATTAATACGTATTTCCACAACTCATAAATCAATGAGTATGATATCAGATTATATACCAATAAGCTACCAAATAACCAATAATATGCTCTGTTAAGGTAACTGGTCTTTTATACATAACAAAATAGCCTGACATGACACATTACTGCAAATCCTATCTCTGTAAACACCAACCTTGACAAATCCATATTACTTCTAACAAAGATAAAAGTCCTAGACTTCATCCACAGACCTAAACTATAGTTACAATGTTCGTGACATTCTCATGTAGTAAGAAGTGGAAGAAATTAACTGCAAATTCTCCATCTAGTGAATTTCTAGAATTAGGTGATTAATTTCCTTTAAACTTGCACTTGAACTATCAAATATAATACTTGGACTTTAAGTTGATATTTTTTTGTTCTTTCTAATTAAATCAGAATGAAGAGAACTAACCACTAATCTGTGATGGGTACCTGAATCTCTGGTTCTGCAGAAACATAGGGCTTGAGCAATTTATCTCCAAATGCACGAGAAACAGCAAGAACACCGCCTACTCGCCAAGTACCTGGGAAATTTGATCATTAGTTATTTAGAGAAACAACAAAATGATTATGCAATCAGTGCACGATACATGACCCATTTGCAAGAAGAATGTAACTTTTAGGGCATATTCACCAAAAGCAAGGTAACGATCAGGACAAGATTTAATAACCTGCCCAAAGAATGAATCCTCCGGCACTTTCAATTCGTTCACGCTCATCAGACCTTTCTGGTTTGTGATCAATAGACAAAGGAATTGCTGCATATAACATAATGTTAATGATATCAATAAATCAATTGGTTAGGAGGGATAGAGTTTGATAAAACCATAGCTTTGTGAAAGGTGCATAAAAGGAGTCATCTGACAAGAAAATTTGAGTCACATTGAAAAGAGAATTGGCTAATACCCTCTACTTCTGTTGATTATGGTACCTTTTACAATCCTTTCAATAACTACCAAAGGAGTGATTTACTAAGTTGCAAGACATGGCAAGAAGATGGGTTCAGAATCAGAAAAGAAGAGGTACATTTTGCTGATGGGGATAGGAAATATGCTACTCTGGTAAATAAAGTTTTTAATCTGCTACAGCACAAAGTTTAATTCTAAGTGTGCTGAAAAGTTTTCCAATGTATTTTTTACCAAAGTGTAAACTTCCTAGTTGTTCAACGCTGTCCAACTTTATTACAGGTATTTCTCTCCTGAGATACTGACATGAAATTCACCATATATAGTGTTACTCAAAAAAGGCATTCACGATAGATAAACTTTGAGCTGAGTGAGTTACTGTATGAAACCTCTACTTTTTTCCCTTCATTTCTCTCTCCCTGTGCTGAAATATTTGCCATTTATTTTGTTGAATAATAAGCTTGCATTGTTGTTTACAGCTTTCTAGTTATCTCTGCAAAATGTTCCATTATGTCTACATGATGCTCCATGAAGTTAAATTTGGTTCAGGCTCACTACATGAATTTTCTCCTTCCTCTAGCACCTAAAATGACACTCACTGAGTTGAACTTAGGCTGAGGTCAAGATAGACCTCAACCTCCATCTCTAGCCTTTTTTCATGTTGTATCAAGAACTCTCCCCCCAAGTGAACTTTAGTTGCAAGATTTCCTATACCTACTTTTACAAAGCTCTAATAAATATGCAATTCATTGTCCAGATAACTAATCTACTGTTGTGGAATTTCATTCACATTAACTTCTACATACAAGTACTATGAATTTCCAATCATTTTTATGCCATTTAGAGAAAAAAAATTAAACCTAGGCCAGCTCTGCATGCAACCGCTCTAGAATCTCCAACATTTGCCACAAAAAGCCGATCCCCTACCAAAACAGCTGTTGATGCAGTTGAACCAGCATCCTTTTGCTGACCTTTTTCCTCATTAAGATAATCAGTATCTGTCTGTCTGAAAGCTTCAACTGCAAGAAACAATGTTAGACTATTAAGTGAAATAACTAGTAACAAGTAAAAAGATCGAATAAACACAAACATATAAGTATCAGCACTTAAATCAACCAACCACAGACCAATAGCTGACTTAGTGTCTTTAATGAAGTCTGGATGACTGCTCAAGTTGTTGAATAGGTTGTTTTTCAGATATTCTGCAGTTCTGGAACCTCCATGACCTAGATTGAAGAAGATGAACAGACACAAGAGGAAGTAAGAAAAATTAGAAGAATGGACAAGGAGTCATAGGGGCATATGAAGAGGCAAATGTTGCAAAACAAAAAAAAGGTCAATAAGGATATTTCATCAGAGTTTTCTTATAAAGGAACCATAGCATACCATCAAAGACGCCAAAAAATGCAACCATCTGGCCATCAACTTCAGATATCCTTGTTTCATAGAAATCTTCCATTGAAGCCCTTTTACCCTTAAAGGTGGAATATCCATAGCTAAACCTCCCATTTTTATTGCCAGTAATAAAACTATCAAGCCAATGAAGATGTTTTAGTGTATATGCTATGAAAAGACCCCACTGATTTAAAAACAAAAAACAGCCAATGAGGCTTGGACATTTATATGTTGTCACAATATGACTGGAGTCTAGATCAAATATGATGCATATCCAAAAAATTGAATTGTACCATTAAACAAGCTCAAAATACAGATATTCGAGAATCTATTTTCCTCAACCTGCTCCTGCAAAAATTTCCTACAAAGATAGTGCCTATCTCCTATGTACAAAACTAAAAAAAAGAAAACATCCAACCGCACCTTGGGATTTAAAAAAAGAAAAAGAAAGGATACTAGCATGTACGTGAAGAAAATCATTTAGCATATGAGACAGAATAGAGCATTAACTTGCTTGCTAAACAGAAGCAGGAAGGCACTAAACAAAGAAACGAAAGAAAGAGCGAGATGTCTGATAATTAACGATGTCTTAAGAGATTATACAGTTCACATATAGCTGTAAAAGCTGGACATCGCAAGCATCTGGTAGACACATGATCCAAGGATACATGGTTCTAGAATATCCTCCTTGGATGCACATCCATATTCATACATTCTGCTAAAATAGTTGTCACTGATTGCAAGAACATGACTTGTGTCACTCATTTCTAAACTGTCTCCCTTGGAAACAATTACTATCCACACTTTCATGCTAATTTTCAAACCTAACTCGTTTATTATTGAGATAGTTTATCTTAGAGGTAGTTACATATAGGTATTTACTTCTAATTAAATTTTCAAATTTCCAATGAGAAAATGATCTTGGTGGGTGTTCGTCTCTACCAAGTATTTGTTAAATCATGATATTATCACAGCATGCATACGATAAATTGTAATACTAACTCATGTGCATCGCATGTGTAACAGTAGTCGCCAACTATACAGACTAACATTCATTTTTTAATAAATGCCTAAAAGAGTGGAAGTAATGGTACTTTCCTGAATACATGCTATGGTCACATCCAAAGCATGTTCAGACCATCAGTTCATCTATTAGATGCACAACAATATCTTCAGAACACACAAGTAACTATGTTATGCCCTAGGTCCAGGAGCCCATTAGCACAGCGTAAGCCCTGTGATCCACTGAGTGCAACATATTGTTTGGCGTGATCCACCGCGAAAAATGTTTAGCCAATGTGGAACTTGATTCCCATGACTTACTATTTAAACCCATATATATCACCACATCCATCAGATGCAGGACTATATTTGGGGTATCACAATCAACCCACCTTAAATACGCAACATCCTCATTGCGGCAAGACAATGAATCATTGCAATATCACCACTAGATGATGAAGATTCTAGAGGATTCCACAGGTTCAAGAGGTGGCTCTCACTATGCTTACACAACGACGACACATCACTTAGTCCCACATAGCTCTTAGTTTCACACTTTCGGTTAGCTAATTACTCTAATACCATTTGTCACTCTCCTAACCTGAAAGTTCGTTGGCACGGTGCGAGCCCTTGACCCACTAAGTGCAACACATTGTTTGGCATATTTGCCTCCAGATATGGCTAGCCCATTTTGCAACTTGACTTTCATAACTTACTGTCTAAACCGGTCTATATCACACCATTTGTCCGATGTGGGACTATATTTGTGGTGTCACAAAATACAATTCCAATTTCTCTAATTTTCATTAAAATTGTTAGCATAGTAGTGGCTTAAGAACTAGAATCTATTGGTATGAGTAAAGAATCACTACTCTAATGCTAATTTAGAAAATTCCCATGAAGAAAAGAACAAGCCTAATGAGGTTCACCCTTCTTTTTCTCTTTTGAGAAAATAACTGAGAGAGTGATTTATTGACAGTAAAAATAACCAAACTTTAAATAGATAAGATAACATCAGATAGATTTCTATGGGGGGGTCTTCTACTTCAATGAAGCTTGCATGATTCAGGCCACAACACCACTAAACGTGACATGCTCCTCCAGACATTTTCCTCATTCTGGCTTTTTGAATTGAAAACACGATCATTGCCCTCTTTCCAAATGACCAAGGGGTTTCAAAAACCATACTATTCCATTTGTTTCTTCTGTTAATTAGAATTACATTCATCACTTACTTTGCCCATCCAATATGAAAACCTCTCATCAGTTAAATGAATAAAACCTCACAACAAAGAGATTTGAAGGGGGAAAAACCAAACAAAATTTACTCGACGACCACCTATCATCCTCAATCAACAGCTCCTATCTTAAACTTACGATACAAATCTATACGTCTAAACCAATTAAAATAGTCAAAAAGATTCAATCTTTTCTGAACTCAAGCCAGCCCCATGGAAAATCTAGCCATTTCGGGTTCAGTGAATAGCATTTCAATGAGCCAAGATGCCGAATTAGGGTTTCTTTATTACATCACATCGCCTCTGCTATAGGTTCATTAAATCATAAAGAAAACTAAAATTCAATCACAATAAGTAAAAAGAGGAGGGTGGGTTCGTGGAGAAAGATACCTAATTCCACCGCCGCTGAAAACGGCGCCGGGATCCGATGGCTTCTGCATCATCGGAGGCTTATCGTCATCACTCGAGTACGGTCACCGTAAGGATTTTTGCCCTTCGAGGAGGGGATCGATGCTCAATAGAGAGATCGTCTCTGAATCCTCGTCCCTGGTATTATTTTTGCACATATACCCTCCAGACATATCTTATTTACATATTACCTCTAATCTGCTTGTGTACGTTATAATTCACAAGGTTTATTTATTTACGTGAATCTGTATACTCTCTCTTTTAACACGGTTAGTTATAATTCATAAGATTAGATTGTCACAATATACAGATCTCAGATCTGAAAGATGAATCTATAAATCGAATAGATTAGAAATATACATGCAAATGAGTCTAATGTTCTAGAGGATTTTGTTTTATTTTATTTCATTTTCAAATTCAATCCATCAAAACATCTCAAATGGTACCCGACATTCTCAATCCAATCGGGTTAACTTTCTCAAAAAATAAATTAATAAATATCTGGATTTAACGAGTAAATATGCAAATAATGTAGTTAAAATAAAATGCCTTCTTTATAATATTTTCTTGTTTTATTTTCTTGCATGAAAGACTAGCAATATGAGGACACATATGAAAATTTAGATTTGGGACAAGTAGTGACAACTAGATTACATTTTTTCAACTACTTCTATACTACTACATCTAAAGATTGTGGGTCCATAATGACTCATCAAGTACGAGGTCCTTTCACTTAGATTGTTATTCAAATTGATAAGCCGTCATGGATCCATAATCTTTTGGTGTACAGTATAGAAGTAGTTGGGAATATATAGTCCAGTTAACGCTACTCTGGGTGCTGCAGCACAGAGAATATGGGTTGGGAATAAAATGTTATGTACACTAAGGGGGTGTTCGACTGTTCAAAAGTGAATTGAAAATGTATAAGTTATTTTGTTTTACAAATGACTTTCACATCTATGTTAGTATGCAAGTGGAATATAATGTTTGTTTAAAAAAAACAAAATTATTGTTCAAAGCGCAATGCGAAGATGACGTGACAAAATTGAATTAATTAGTAAATATTGTAGTTAAAATTATTTAATTAAAATTGGTTATTATTTTGGTCACTTTTATGTGGTTTCACCATTCTTTTAGGGGAAATCAAAATTGCGTTTAATGGAATTGAGATTAACACTTGGTGGTTGGGAAAAAGATCAACTTTTGTCATGATTACCTTAGCTATTTAGTATATGATTACGAGTAATTTAAAAATTCTCTATGTGATTTGCACTTCTTTTAACCCTTTGCAAATGGCAATCATACTCTAAAGAAAAAGACATGGAAATATCAACGTTTATTTGCAGTTGAACTATTGGCGGATAATTGTATGTAAATAACCTAAAAGCTGATAAATCCTTTCTTTAGGGATTTTACGTTCAATTTCATTCAAACTATTCCGCGCTTTTAAAGCATTCTGCAGTTTCTGTGCCCATTCCTTGGTTTTCTCTTTCACATACGCAAACTTATATCAGGGTAATGATAAATAAATAAATAAAATATTTTTCTTTTTTCGGTTTAACGAAATCGTGCCTAGCAGTAGAGCATTTTATGTGCAATGGACCGTTTGATCAACAACTTGCACAGGTGATAATCTTAGCTCTTCCTGCATATTATACTCGGAAATACCAACAACATTTTATAGAGTTGAAATAAAATTAAAGCTTATCTTTCAAAATTGTAGCCTATGGCTATAAGGACATATGCTACTCTGAAACAACCAAGATTGAAAAGTTCAGAAAAAAATGACAAGCAAAATCTAAAATCCAGTACTTCATTCTCTATTCCATTAATAAAAGAGAACGTCGCGAAAGGGCATATTTTGATTGGATTCATCTCTTCCCACAAATTAAACATCAAACAAAATAGACTATAACAAGTATGGTCTGTATACAGCAACATAGAGGCAAAATATAAAACTTCACATTGCACATAAAAAACTGGGAGAAAGATTCAGCACCGGTACTAATTTCAATAAACAAGCTATACATAAATATATATCACAAAAGAATTAATCACCATCACTAAGTGTTGACCATAATCAACAACAAGTACTAACTGGAGCATCGGCGTCTTGTGTAGGATTCTGCTTAAAGATGTTCTTCTTCACGCCTGTCGACCCATCAGCCAAGAGGCTTGGTGCTTCCAATATCTGCTTTGAGATCACAATGATGTTAGTAAACCATCAACAGGGTATCTGATAGGCAAATAGTAGTTCACTGAGAAAAGTAAGTCAAAAACAAATCAGATAATATTGTAATAAACTAATTGGAGGCATTAGGAAAAGAACGAGAATCATTATCTTTCTCTGTTTTCTTTCCAGATAGGCTGTGTTTGGCAATCCTTGAAAAAACTGGGCAAGGATCAATCATAACCCAGTTTTATCCAAAATCAGACCAGAATTGAACCAGGGAGGAAGTCCAACAAAGAACTGGTTTAAGAGTTTTAGTTTAGCTTCAGGAAAACTGGGCCAATTTTTTCCCCAAAATGGCCCAGTTTTTCCCTAACAGAGTTTTCCCCAAAATGGAGCCACGATCAATCCTGCCCCATTTTGGGAGGTTACGAAACACAGGAAAATAAAAAATAGTACTACCCATAGGGAAGCTGACATATTCTAACTATTAAGTACCACCTCACCAACACTAAGGTAAGTGAAAGAGAGGAGCAGGGAAACATAACACATGCTTGTGAGTTTAGTAAAGGGAATGGACGTAAAATCTTATATTAGCTATTGGATTCATATCATGATGGTTCAAAAAAATTCATCTTCAGAGTTTTTTTTTTGGTGGGGGATCAAGTCCTTAGATTAGAGGTTAATTGTAATTGAGGTGAATTTTATCACCTCCCTTTCACTCCATCCTACTCAAAAGAAACTCCCAAATAAAGTAAAGAGAAGGGAAGAGAAAAGAAGGATTTTATAATCAAATTTCAGCTGTTGGTCCAAGAGGATAGAGGGTCAAACATTAGACCTTTTATGACCAATTCCCCTCTCCTCCTCTACCCCAGATTTGTGGGGGAACAAAATGACAACATTTTATTGAAAATTTCACCCATCAAAAAAAAATTTCCAAACGGAGTTAAGTACCCACTTCCTCTTCCCTACCCTCTCCTGCCTTCAATGCATTTCAACTCCCCCTTCAACAGTTTTGGCCAAGACAAGTTTAGTTTTGGATCACCTACCCCTAGTCCAGAAGTATACCGATTTAAGGGCCAAATTTTGAAATTAAAAAATGGTTCAACTGTAGCCCAGTTTTTGCCAAACAGAATTTTAGCCCTTAGCCAAATTAGTTCTACTAACCTCATCAGTGGAAGAGTTGCCAACAGGCCAGATGGAGAAAAGCACAACCCAAGAATGGTTTGTGGCACAAAAATTCAGCCGCCCAAGAATATAAAATGAAAACCGATAATTATCACTAACAAAGGCATCACGCATTTATTTGTAGTTGATATAAAAGTGGAAATATAGCACCATATTAAATTAATTCTAGTATAATTACAAAAAAAGAAACTCAATCTTAATTGGATTTCTGCAATATGCATGAATTCAGCCAACAATCCACAATGAACGTGCATTATGACAGTTAATAAAAAACATTGATTGTATATACCTTTAAGACAAGCTCCTCAAAGCACTTTTCTACATTTACTCGAGTTCTCGCACTACATTCTAGGAATAGGCAACCAAATTGTCTAGCTAAATCAATACCCTCTTTCTTCGTGACAGCTCTTCCACTTTCCTGGAAATGCAAACAAATAGAACATTACTAGTCACAAATTACAGTACATGTGCAAGAAATTAATTGGCAACAAGCAATAAAGAGCATTACCAGTCACAAATTTGACATAATTCATGAAAAAAAATTAAAAAAGATAATGCCAACAGCAAAACTAGAAATACCTTATCAACTTTGTTTCCAACTAGCATCTTGATGCAGTCTTGATTAGTTGAATACAGTTCTATTTCCTTGGCCCATATGTCGGCCAGATTTGTAAATGTGTCTCTTCTTGTTACGTCATAAACTGTATGTAAAAGAAAAGAAGACTCAAAAATTTAAACTAATAAATTTAACTTGTGCAATAGAAAATTAAAACTTCAAAGGGCTAAACGGGCTTACAAAACTAACTACTTTCCTACACTCTCGCATGAAAGGCATATGCATGTGCAAAAATGTAGTCACTGTTTTCCTGAGTATAATGTTAACTGATAAAATATTATTTCTTCATTTGGAAAGGTTTCCACCAACCAGTCAATTAGCTCCCCTGACACCATACTCCTTTTTTCACAAAAATCACCGCACAAACCCACCCACAATATTTATTCGGTCGAAAGAATCATAGCACAGGCAGCATTAAAGCCACCTTAACAAACAGGAAAATTTCAGATTCTCCACCATCCACGTAAGCAAACTGAGTTTGGTTCTCATTTTAAATTGGTACATATATGAATAGCTTTGCACATCACAAGTGCCTGACATGTGACAAAACATTTGATTATTGGATATTTTGATAGACAATTCAGTTGTGTTAGATTTGATTCAAATTTGTTGTACATAAAAGGAAATAATAAATTATATATGCACTTCCAAAACACAAAGAATGTAATTTGATTCTGAATTGCTAAAGTAGGTGAAATTGCATGGGTACAATGGAATATTCAATTCAATAACAAGGCCTTATTCCAGCAACCACATTTGTCTCAGACTCTCAGACACAATCCTGCGTCACATAGCTCATTGTTTCCTCTGTCGTGCTCAGTGTTTGCCAGCATCATTCTAATTCTGTCAGGGCTTCCACCATACTCTACCTAACAACCCTCATGAACATCTAGTATGTTTACATAGAAAAAATCATGCCGAGATGTACAGTTGTGACCATACATAGGTCCAGAAGATATGCCACTTATTAACAGACAAAACATAATACTGACTTCGGTTTTAAAATTCAACATAATTGAAATAAATAGACAAAAATTTCCTGGGGTGAACAGTGCTCCATGAACTCAAAACCCAAAGGTCTAATAATGTAACTAATAAAAAGAGACAACTTCCCCTGTAATGGTTCTAGATTTTCACTTCCCACAAATAGTTTTTATGTTACATATGAGATTCAATACATTTCTGCCAATGTATAAAAAAGGCAAAGACATATAATTGATGTAATTAATAAATGCAGACAAGGTGCAAGCATCAAACATCATGATCATACTAAAGAACTTCCTTGCAATTGTGGGTATGGAGAAGATAAACACAAGCTTTAAGAGATAAAAATGTCTAAAGGATAAAACTAATATACCCATTATGATGCCTTGTGCTCCTCTATAATATGAGCTTGTTAATGTTCTGAATCTCTCCTGACCAGCTGCACAATAAAATTGAACCATATGTAAAATCCTCTATTTACATCCTACACTTTTGAATTGTGCATGAGACCACAAAATAATTTCTAAATTTCTCATGGAAAAGTAATTGCTCGGCTGTGAAAAAATTGTGCTACCATTACCGCAAATGTTTGATGTCTCTAAAGGAATCAAAGATATATTTACCGTGTTAGTCTCATTAGATATCTTTGCAAATGTAGAAAAAGAGATATTATGAAAACATTAAACAGGACATTCCATATCGCTAAGCTCTCTACTTTTAATAAGGATCACATTGTCAACAAAATTGAAGATACATGAAAAAAAATTCATCTATTCCAAATTAAAGACAATACCATGAACAGATTATTACCTGTGTCCCAGATTGCAAGTTTCAATCTTTTCCCTCCCATTGTAACCATCTTAATCTTAAAGTCCACACCTGCATTAATATAATTCATTGTTATATAAAGGCATCGAATAAAAAAATACATAGTTGCCAAAAAAAAAATTAATCGAAGAACGTACCGATCGTAGGAGAGAGTTCTTCAAAGGAATCAGAAGTGAAGCTCAACAAGAGGCTGCTTTTACCAACTCCCGAATCCCCAATCAGCAACAATTTGAAAAGGTAATCGAAATCAGATTGGCTCGTAGACGACATTTTCTTCGAATTCTCCTAAATTAAGGGAAACCCTAAAAAATAAACAAAAAAAATGAAATTTTCAGGGAAATTTCGAAGAGCGTACTTTATGTATTGGAAATTGAATTAGATTGACAGGGATCTGGATCTAGGGTTTTGATGTTTGAAGGGGAAAAGAGGGGAATTTTGGTGGTGCTGATGAAATTGTAACAAACAGGGGGACTTTTCATGGAGGAGGGAGGAGATGGTAAGTTGAGTTTTTCTGGGGATGGAACTGTAATTTGTGCCAGCATGTGAAATGTATACGTCAGTACTTTTGTGAGTAATCAAATTTTAAAATTTTATGTAAACGTCTACAAGCGATCAAAAGTTTGTTATGAGTACTTCTTGTAATTATTTATTTATAGATCATGTTTTTTGGAATTATAGTTATAAATATTCAGTTATCGATCTGTAAAAATTATTTTTCCTTTATAAAGCTCATGTCTTTATTGTAGTACTTTTATGCAGTTTACCTTTTTCGGTTAAATGATAAAGTGAATTTTTTGCACTCAAGGGGGTTCAATTTCTAGAAATTATAGGAAATGTTTTCACCTAAAATATGATTTCTTTGTATTTCTTAAAAAAATTATAGAAAAAGTTTTGAGAAATCAAAAAGTACCAATTTTCTTGTTTTTTTTACTTTGCTTGTTTGGTTCAAAATAAGAAAATAGCTCATAACTTTATAGAAAATAACAAGATTTGGTAGGTTTTTAATTAAATATGGTATGTGTCAGATTTCTGGTGATTTCCTCTCATTTTGAGAGGAAATTGTTTTTTGTAAAATTTGGTAGGTTTTGATATTTTATAGAAAATATTTCTGTAAATTTTTTGTTGAACTAAACACAATTTACAGAAATCTCTGAAAAACTTTTAATTATAAATTTGTCATTGTCAGATGTTTTGAGAAAAGTTTTCTCAAAAAGTGTGCAACCAAACAGCCCCTAAAAGTATAAAAATTTTAAAAATACAGAAAACTTGAGTCAAATAAAAACCATACATATAAGAGCAGGTGACATGCACTGTTAGAGTTTTTATAAAAAGATATCATTTAATGATTGGGTTTTATAGATAAAAATTAAAATGTGTTTAATAAGTAGTACGTGAATTTTAATCTCACATTGACTAATTGAATGCATTTCAGTTGGTTCAAATTAATACATATATTATATATGGTATAACAAATGTTTTAATATTATACACTTGTATTGGTATATAAGCGAGTGGACACGTGCGAGCGGGATCGTACGAGCGGGCTCCTGCGCGTGGGCTCTTTTTAAACGAGCTTAAACGTTTTGTATGTGCCAACTTAAAACCAGCTGAACGTTTCGTACGTTAAAAACGTTACAAAGATTGAATAGGTTTACGGTCTTTTTTTTGAAAAATTAAAAACTACACCATTTCAAAATTAAAAATCGATGAAACAATAGGACATTAAAGTGCAATTAAGCCTTTTTCCATGAAAAGTTAGGGCATTAAAGTGCAATTAACCCTTTTTCCATGAAACATTAGGGCAATTTATGGAAGTAGATGCGATGCACAGCAGCGATCTCCCCAATTGTTTCTCCCAAATAACAACCCTAATAAAAACATAGGATGAGCCCAATTGTTTCTATCAAATAGCAAAACCTAATAAATACACAGGATGAGGCGAGATCACAATAATCTTTAATCAAAAAAATAAATAAACTTTAACTTTATTTCATCTTGTCCTCAGAGACTGCAGAGGCGAAAAAGGAGAGGGTTAGACAGCTAGAAATCACTAGATTGGGAGGTTTTGGAAAACACTTGATTTATACAAGATTTTTCCAATCCAAACCCAATCTAATAACTCCTAACAATCTTTTCCTCTCCTCAAAACCCTAAATAAAATTTTATAAAGTAACGAGAGGAAGAGTATGGCAACGGAGCATTATATAGGCAAAATTAGGGAGGCAGTATTCTGAAACTGCTAATTTCGGCCCATGGTTTTCTTTTAGTACTTCTTACGCATTTAACCCTCATATATATCTTATTTGCAAAGAATTTCTATATTAAAGCCACTTTATTTTTACCCAAATTGATATTTATCACATTTGAAGTTTTTTTAATGTAAGGGGGTATTTGGCAATCTGAAAGTGAATTTAAAATATGTAAGTTACTTTTTTTTACAAATGACTTTTACATTCATGTCAGCACGCAAGTGAAATACAGTGTTTGTTTGAAAAATTAAATTATTATCGAAAGTGCAATGTGAAGATGACGTGGCAAAATAAGATTAATTAGAAAATATAATTAAAATCATTTAATTAAATTACTTACCTTTTTGTCACTTTCATGTGACTTCACCACTTTTTTAGGGGAAGTCAAAATTGTATTAAATCTTATGTGGCAACTTTCTTACATCTCACTTTTATAACCACTTACATGAAAACAAACACTTTAATTGTTAAATGAAAGTAATTTTCTCACTTTCATCTTTCACTTGCATGCAAACAAACACCCCCTAAACCATATTTACTTGGTAACGTATTTGCAATGTCAAAACTTTTTTTTCTTGTTCACCTATGAAAAATCAAATATTGTCAATTACTCACATCTTCTTCCTTCCAACCCCTAACCCTAGATGTAACCTCCTCCATCTTTCTCTTCTACAAACCTCAAATCTGACTCTAACCCATGGCCGCTACCTCTCCCAAAACCCTAACCCTAACACATGGCGCCAGCTCCCCCAAACCCTAACTCTAATCCTAATTCCTAATTGGGAAGGAATAGGAGAGTGAGAGGTCAGGGAGGAAGAGAAGGACAAGAGAGGGCGAGGGAAGTTGGGGAAGGGAGGAGAGGGAATACGGGAAGAAGAGGAGGATGAGGAGGTTAGGGTTAGGTTTTCAGTTAGGGTTTGCGAGGAAGGAGATTAAATAAATAAGAAAATGGTGAGGGTAAAATGGCCATTTCACTTTTTTTGACTGAAAACTAGATTAAGTGTGACATTGCAAACATATTAGCAAAAAAAACTTAAAGATAGCAAACATTAATTTGGGTAAAAGTAAATATGATTTTGATATAAAAACCCTTTGCAACATTATCTTCAAGTCTTGATATTTATAAAATCACCCTCAGTTTCCTTAGAATTTTGAATTTTTAACTCATGCACTTTAGGAGGTCAATCTTACAAATGTTTGAATGTTGAATTTAGATTTTTGTCCTTCATTCAAGTAGCTCATTTGTTTGTTAGGTAGCCCTCCTTATAGATTCACATTAAGAGCTTACTCAAGACTCATGAGACCAACGACTAGTTCATCTTACTTTTTCAGAGCATGTTGATGGAGACAATCATTGTCTGATTGGTGACTGAAATGGGTTCAATAGTCATGGGAATCGCGGTTATTTTGCTAGAAATAAATAACAACCAATAATGGAGTTTTGTATAACGGCGCAAAACGTTCTCATTATCATTAGTTAGTGAAAACTAATAGAAGAATACTATCAGCAGAACTTTAGTTCTTGTTAGAAAAGTATAGGTTTTAAAGGGTTCTAGGAGCTTCTATTGACTCGGATAAACACTGAGGAGAGATTAAGGATGTCGTTGCTTGTTGGATATAAATAAGATTCAGTGGATGACTCATTCAAATGGTGCGAAAGCAATTCGGTCGAAGATTAATAGGAATGAGGGAGAGGAAAGGAAAATTTGGTAGGGTTAAAAACGTGTAAAAGAAATTGGTTTTCCTTTTCGTAATTGTTAATTTACAATGTTGATGAATTGGTGGGTAATTGGTGAAAAGCAAGATTAAGAGGGTAAATATGCAAATATTAAAAACTTAGTGTAATTATGCAAAATCGCATGTCTTTGTTGTCAATCCGGAAACCCACTCGGTTGACAAGTCAAGTCAAGGCTTCAGAGATTCGTTTGGAGTTTCTTCGATAGATTTTCAAAAGAAAATGCTTCAAACACCCATTGAAGAAAGGTTAATTTCACATAACACCCTGATGTGTATTTTTATATAGCTCTTCTAGACTTTATTTATGAATTTTGGGGTGTTTAACAAAACTCCCTAAACTTTTAAACTTTACTCACTGGAAGTCCTACATGTAATTTGCAAGTAGCTAAAATTTCTTTCAGAAAAATATCAAACTTTATAAGTTTTAAATCAGAATTTAATAAAAAATAATCGTTTATTAAAAAAATAAAATCTAAATGAAATCTAATCTAACAAATATATCTTCTCATTCAAATTTGTTAGAAAATATATTGAGTATTTCTCAATTGGTTTGAGGGAGACCATGTAAGCTGTGTTCATCTTTAAAAGTTTCTACTTCCTTTTATTCCTCACATGATATTTATTTCCAAATAATTTTTCTTTCCTTTTATTCTTCAAAACATTTTGTTTCTCTGTAATATTTTATGTTTGTTAGTTTTTTTTAAGTATAGGTCAATCATCTCGCCATATTCTGTCATTTTAGGTTTTCGAGTCCAATATTGTCTTGCCAATGTAGAATATGATGAAGATGGTAGTAGATAAAAAATATTTAAAAGGAAATAAATAAGTACCCGGGCAAAACTGGGACCCGGACCCGGGCAAAACCGGGACCCAGACCCGGGCCTGAGCGAGCTAGGCTCCGGGCCGAGCCTTTTTTTTGGGTTTTTTTTCTTTTTTTTATTTCTTTAAATTTTCAATAATATATAACTAAAAATTAAACAAAATTTTAATAAAAAAATCATACTATTATTTATTAATCATTTGAAATTACATAAATTGCAAATATAAAAAATTATAAAAATTAAAATGATAAAAATAACTTCTTTATTAATAATCAGTAAATCATTTACAATTATAAATTTAATTTGAAATTCATCGCATCACAATAAATAAGTACATCCCAACTAGGTTGGCACCTACTCATCTATGTCACTATCATTTGCAACTGTTTTCAAAATAGTTTATTACAAATTTTTAGCTAAGAAATAAAAATTACAATTTGATGAATATTGTTTACTCTTTATATCTATCTACTAGTCCCAACACTTTAAATTTATCTTCAATACCAGCCATCCGATCGATGCATTACGTTCTCTTCTAGTACCTTCACCAATCTTGTAAGCACATGATCGTCTGTACAGTATACGGATCTAACAATATCCTGTGGTTGTCGATCAAACATTTTGTTATGCTGAAGGTGGATTCCAAAGCTACCATAAAAACCTGCACTGTTAGTAAGTCACGAACCATGATGGAAAGTATAGGATATGAAACTGTTCCATATACTTTCCACCATTGCAAAATATATAAACTATTATTTTGATATTTAACTAAAGATGCAGTTAAATATTGATCA